TACTACTACTACTACTACGAATTGTACTTTCACTAATCCGCCTAGCAACCGCCATTTTCTTCTTCGTTTTTCATCTCCTCCTGCTGAGTGAGTGAGCGAGGATAATGATTTGTGGTGATATACAGTTGTACTGTTCAGACAGTTGCGTCACATCGATTCCTTTCCTTTCCTTTTCTTTCCTCTTCTTTTACTCCACCCATACACTCATTTTGTGTGTGTGTTGCCAAGCTTTGCGTGTGAATAGTAATGGTAATTCTAGCGCCCTTTTAAATGTCAGATTGACTGAAAGAAAGAAAGTTTATTGTACGGCGTGATGAACACGTGTTTCTTCTGCTGCTGACGGCGGTGGCGGATTGTGTCAGGCAGCAGCTGTTTATACAGCGGCAGAGTTTTGTATAAACGTTTGCAGCATGAATTTGCATAAAGTAGTGCTGTGCACAGTTTTGCTCCATAAAAAGTGGAGGCCTTTTTTGCTTTGCTAATTTCCCACTTTTTTATAGCTGCTTTTCTGTTTGATGGCAGAGTCTGTTGACCTCGAACTTTTTTTTCCTCCCTTTTTCTAATTTGTTTCACACGTTAATTAATCCGCCCGCTTTCCACTTATTTATTTTTGTTCTCTTTTGCACAGTGATTTGATTGCAGAGAGAACTCTTTTTCTTGATCTCTCTTCTTGGCTGCCAACTCTTTACTGTCGCTCATTTATTCGTACCCTTTTTGCCAAGAGTATTTGATTGATAATCACAGCAAATCAAACCATGACCATCGACGCCGAAGCTACCGCCGTTTCCAATGGAAACCAGGAAATCGCCGTCACCAGCACCGAGCTGGTCGTCTTCGACTTTGACGAGACCATAGTCGACTGCAACTCTGACACGTACATCAACGTGCTGGCGCCGGGCGGGACGATTCCGGAGACCATTTGGGCGACCTTCCAGAATGACAACGACTGGACCGCGTACATGCAGGCGGTCTTCCAGTACCTGGGCGCGGCGGGCGTCACCGAGGCGGAGTACCGCCGCTGCCTCGCTACGATGCCCTTTGTGGAGGGGATGAAGGCGCTGCTGGGGCGGCTCGCCTCGGGGCTGGTCGTAAAGAGCGGACAGAAGACGGCCTACGAGGTGATTGTCATCTCAGATGCGAACAGCTTCTTCATCAACTACACACTGCAGGTTCACCAGTTGGATGCTGGGGTGAAGTGAGTTTGAATTTGGCAGTTTTGGGAGTTTCAGGGTTTAATTTGTGTTTTTTCCGTTTTTGCAGAAAGGTCTTCACGAACCCGGCCGCTTTTGACCCCACCACCGGCGTCCTGCAGATGGAGCGCTACCACGAGCAAAATTGGTGCCCCCTTTCCGCGCGCAATCTCTGCAAGGGCCACGTCCTGAAGGAGTACATTGCCAAGCGCGGCGCCGAGGGCGTCCACTTTGAGCGGGTCAACTACGCCGGAGATGGCTCGAATGACCTCTGTCCTTCGCTGAAGCTCGGCCCCCGGGATCGCGTCTTTCCCCGTGTCGGCTATCCGCTGCACAAGCTGACGCTGGCGAAGCAGGCTTCAAAGGAGCTCCAGGCGCCCATCTTTCCCTTTGTCGGGGGAGAGGACATTTGGAAAGTGTTGGTCGCTGGGGATGAGCACCAGTAAGAGGAGATTTTCCGTCGATCTGAAGATGTTTGAAAAACTCGTCTACTTTCGCAACTCCTTTCTCTGTCTCCCTATCAAGTTACTCAAATAGTTGGCAGAATTTGATTAGAAAAACCTCCATTTCTTCCTTTTCACCTTTGGTTCACCGGTGTATTTCCTTTTCCCAATTTTCTTCAGTTCATCAGTTCTCTCATCAGTTCTGTTCGGTTCAGCAGTGCAATTTTGTTTTTACTTTTTTAATTTTACGTTTGAAATTGGTTCTTCTCCTTTTTGCGCTTCCTCCTGCTTTGGTTTTTTTCTTTGTTTCACCACTCTTTCTCAACCCCTTGACCCGGTTTNTTCCTTTTCACCTTTGGTTCACCGGTGTATTTCCTTTTCCCAATTTTCTTCAGTTCATCAGTTCTCTCATCAGTTCTGTTCGGTTCAGCAGTGCAATTTTGTTTTTACTTTTTTAATTTTACGTTTGAAATTGGTTCTTCTCCTTTTTGCGCTTCCTCCTGCTTTGGTTTTTTTCTTTGTTTCACCACTCTTTCTCAACCCCTTGACCCGGTTTGTTTGTTCATCCTTTTTCATCCTCTTTCTTCATCCTTATTCAGTTGCCACTACTTCACTACTACTACTGCTCTATTCCCCCTATGTAACAGAGAAAGAGGTTTAACTTGTGTTGTATTTGAAGAGAAAAAGTTATTAAAATGCAATGTGATATTCTGCTTTATGCTCCTCAAAGTTTGAAGTTCAAACAACGTTAATTTTATTTACATTTTTTGTTTTGTTGAATACAAACAAAGGGGGGGGGTGTTTACTCGTTTGGGATGTCCTCCAAGACAAACACCTCGATGATAGTGTAGGTCATGGCGCCGATGAAGAGCAGCGCAATGGTGGTCACCAGCAGGCTCTTCAGCAGGCAGTCTCGGGTCAGCTCGGGAATGGACGGAAACTTGAAGGATTTTAAGTTCATTTTGAGGAAAAAAAGGTAGATTTAAAAAAGACACTTGTTTTAAAATTTTAAAATGATGCGTAAGATCCACTTTTCCACTTGTCGGCCGTTTGGTCAGAAAGAACGGACAACAGCACAAGCGAGGTAGTAAAAAAGTTATCAAAGTTGTAAACTTGGTCACTTACAGACACAAACTGATTTATCTTTACGACAATCGTAGAGATGATAAAAATTAAAATCTGTACATTCTCACCATCATCATCATCACAATCAGGACTGCTGCTGGTCATCAGACACTTTTTATGAACCTAAATTACTCAAAGTGTTTTTGCCGCTGCTGCTCAAACTCAAATGAGAAAAAGAAAGCTGACCTTTTGCTGGCAATGGTTGCCCTTTCAGTTCAGTCCAGCTCATTCATTCAATCGTTTCCATTCTATCGATAATTTTTTGCGCTTTTGCACTCAAGACTGAAAAACTGAATGCAAGTGCAAAACGGGGGAATTCAATCATCAGTTCAGCGCTTTCTTGTTCACGTGAGTCTCGTGAGGCCCTTGATAATGGTGGCAGATAGCCGCCAAAATGGCAGATGAAATCTGCACATTCCAATCTAAATGGCAGATCTGAAAAGGAGATCGTTTTCTTTCTTTCTCTATGCAAAACTGCTCTTTTATGGCGATTTTATTAACCCGAATGAATGAGCTGAATGAATGAGTTGAACGAGTTGATATCACTTACACACTTTTGCTATGAGAAAAGTTCTCACCGAGTGCTACTGCTTACCTTTTTGCAAAAGGACAACATTTGTTTTTCTGCTATCTTGCAGTTTGTACTACAGCTTCACTAAAGCACTAACAGTGAAAACGCAGTGAAACTATTTTCCTTTCTTCTTATCATCTCGGAAACTACTGGTGGAGAAAAACAGGAGAGTGAGTGACTAAACGAGACGCATTTTGAGGCAGCAGCAGCAAAAATGGTCGCAGAATGAAACACATTTACGTGCCAAAAGTGCCAAAATTACTGTGAGGTCTTTGACTGTTTGTCTGTCTGTGTGTGAGGTCAACTTCACCGCTGCCGCGATCATTTGTCACTGTCTTTCCTTTTCTTTTTTCCTTTCCACTTTCTTTCTTCCACCTTTCTATTTATTATTTTCACCCGGGCTAATTGTATTAATGAATTCATCTCCATTATGCAGCGCTAATGTGTCGGCTAATGTGTCTCTCTGTGTTTGTGCTCAATCAGAATAACAAAAAAGCACAAACGAAGAAGGAGGAGCACTGACCGTTATAACCACCTGTTGCACATACATTCAGATTGACAGTGTGCTGGTGGTGGT